CTATTGGAATTTCTGAGCTATAATTAGGCAAAAATATTGAGATAGATTCTGCTTCGTAGCATGACCGCAATTTTATTTATTTGCCGATGAAATCTAGGATTGGATAATATATTCATTACTATGCTAAATTTACGTATGGAGATAAAGGTTGAGGTCTATCGGGAATGATAGAGCATGATGCCGTTTTTGATAATTTCAAGAAAGATTTTCTTATATTGAAATATGAAATATTGCATATTTCTTTACGCCCATCTTCTACGATTTTCAGAGATATTTGATTCGTATTTAATTGAAATAGAGCAAAAAATATCATTTCTTCATTTATCCTTTTCTTTTTCGATTAATATTACTTTCATTTTTTCTAAATATAGAGATAATATATATTTTGATTGATTTTTTGATTTCTTTTCATATATGATTTGGAGCATGGTATTCTTTATTATTTCGAATGCGCTTCTTCTTTTTTCTGATTCTTTTTCTCTCAAACGAATATGAAGATGATTAGATTTCTTGGATATCTTGAATAGCGAGATTTCTTCTTTTTCATAGATTCCTGAATTGATGGTCCGAATCTCAACGCCTCGTCCTTTTTCATAATAAATATGGAGAGATTATCAAATTATATTAGGATATTTATGTTAATCGTTAGATTATGGCCTTTTATAGATCTCCTCCTTTATGTTCAATCGAAAAGGATAGATATATAATTTATAAATGGTCTCTAACGTTAAATGATCTTCATTCGGACTAAATAAGATTTCATTTTTTGATTAGACGAAATCATTGCTGATCCTAAAGATTTTAAGCATGCATTGACAATTCTATATTTTGACGAGCTTTTATAGATATATGGGATTGTTATTATATCGATAGCTCTGATGAGCTTATTTATATAGGCAAGATTTTTGATAGGATAGACCCGCGTCATTTTGAGAAAACTATTTTTATTTCTTTATCTCATTCGGAAAATATATATTCGATAAATATGCGTCTATCTTTTTTTTGATTTCTCCATCGACCTCTTTGATTATGGAATCATGGGGAAGATTGGAATTCCCTTACTTCTCCTTCCTAGGTCTCATTTGATGATATTGCCTGAATCCCTATATCCTTAGTATTGGATCTTGCTGAGGGAGATAAATATGCATAGATTCTACGATTTTTTCTTCGAAAAGGATTATATATAGAAAGGCGATATGATATTAGACGTGAAATTAATAGATAATATCGAGAGATCGTCAAAATAGATTTTAAAAGATTTTATATAGATACTAATTCAATCTAGAAACTATTTCGTTTTGAATCAATGACGTGATTCTATCCGAAAGATTATGATAAAAAATTGAGAATTATATCTTTCGATAGATCTATAGAATTTTCTCCGTTGCTATAATTATAAAATTGATAATGATAAAATTTAGAAAGAATTGATTTTGATTCCTTCTTACGCTCAAATATTATTTCTCATCAAGAGATTCTCTTCTTCGTCCTGATTTATTCCGAACGACAAGATATATTTGAATATATGGCGATGATAGGACGCGAGGCACTGCCGAAAAGAATATCGCGAGCGCGTAATAATCGAGATCATAGAATCGATAATTGAAAATGAATTTTATATATCTATAACCTTATGGGCAGATATCCGCAATTAAAGGCGATCTTCATTATCGTGATCTATTTCAAATTGATTTTTAGAGGCGACGATTCTGATTGTCGAAATAATGAATTGTTGCCTAGATTTTGATAGAATTTTCTCTTCAATATATCATATATCAATAGATGAGCTGAAAAAAATATGATTATTTAGATTAAAATCTTTGACCTTTGAATAAGGAATATCCCTCGAAATCTCGTATCTATCTATTTTTTTTTTCCCGAATGAATATTTTCTATAAATCTCGAATCATAAATGATATCCGCTTCTTTTTTCAGAGAATTTGTTCTTAATTATTTTCAGAGAATCATTTCTAGAAATCTCAAATTTCTTCTAATATTTCTTGAGATTTTTCAGAGATTTATTTTTCTCAATTCTCAAATTTTCAGAAAATGATTTTAAAGATTTTTTCAGATTATCATTTCCCGAAAGTCTCATATTGCACGCAACATTTCTCTAAATTTTTGCCAAATTTCAAATAATATTTAATTCGAAATCTCAAATTATAATCAATATCATATCTAGATTTAGCCTAAGATTTCCTTTCCAAATCTCAATTTCTACGCAATCTCTCCAATTCCCGAAATCTGAAATTTCGAGGAATATCCTTTTAAAATTATTCAAAAGAATATCTCCCCAAGCATCATTTCGTCTATTTAATATTCTTTATAATTTGGGCAGTTCGAAAATCATTTAATTATATTCTCTATATTATTTATCTCTCCTCTTCTCTAAATCTTTGCCTACGTATTTTACGAGATATAAATATATATTCTGGAAAAAAAAATATTCTTCGATCAATATCCTTCTACGATTCTCTTATCGCAACCAATCAAAAAAGATAATAATATCGATCTCCTATAAAAGATAGATGCCTCTTTGTAATTTTAAAAATCAAATCAAATCCAAAATTTTAACGCGATATAAGAACAGACCATAAATTCCGAGCGACGACGTATCGAAATAATCAGAAATCTATTTTAAATATAGAGAATCATATCGAGCGATTACGATATTTAAAAAAAAACGATTTTTCTTAATAATCATCATTTTCATAGAATGAAAATATTTCGGAGCTTCTTCCGAATATTCAAGAGAAAAATAAAAAGAGCTTCAAAATTGATAGATAATATATTAATATTTAAATAGAACCTCGTATAAAATACGTACGTCACCAACAATTCAAGTTTTCAATTAATATTTCAATTTAATATCTTCTAATAATCATATAAATTCTTGAAAAATAGCTTAAGTTCTAATCAATTCTATTATATTTCATAATTATCAAATAATTTATGAATATATTAAAATGAATTATTTATTTCCGAAATTCATTTAATATTCAAAATATATCGAATCTTATTTAATATATTTTCAAAATATATTCCTAATTTATCAATAAAAATACGAAAAGTAAGATAATAATGAATCTATATTATTTAGAAATATTTTTATTAATATTCCTAAGATTTTTTGAGCCGATATATACAAATGTAGATATCTATAAATATATTGAGAGAACCCATACTGAGCAGTCCAATAAAAGAGCAGGGTATAAATCCATACGTATAAACCGATAAATGATCGATATATAAAATTGCACGTGCCGAAAATCCCCAATCCATAAATTCTTCAAGCTCTCGAAAATTTTTCATGTCAGCGGCTCGGATATCCGAATCGCCGTGCAAATACTCAAAAAGAGCGAAATAATTCAAAGAGATTTTTGGTCGCGCGGTCCCCGCCTCCGGCCCATTCTTGCCGCCTGCATCTATCTCTCTTAGATTATCCGCGCGGCGGTTTCGAGGAACGCATAAATTCTCGTTGCTAGATACAGCCAACCTCTCCGTCCCGGGACCTTTTACTCCGCCGAACAACCGACAACCGCGCAGACAACCAAAGACAAATAAATCACGCAAAAATAAGAAAAAAACACCGCGAATGGATCCGAGAGATTTTTGGTCGCTCGCGCAGCCCCCGCATCCGGCCCGGTCTTTCCGCCTCATTTATGTCTCTTGGATTAGCCTCATTTATGTCCCTTGGATTATCTGCGCGGCGGCTCGGGAGAGCGCGTAAATCCCCGTGGACAGACGCAGCCAACCTATAAATTCGGAAAGGTTTTGGATCTCCGCCCCGGGTCTGCACGTTCCTCCGAGCAGCCGCGCAGACGGCCAAAGAGAGACAAATCAGGCGGAAGACCGCTCCCGAGGCAAGGGCCGCGCGACCAAAAATCTTCGAGATTTTTGGTCGCACCGCCCGCGCCACAAATCTCGGACATTTTAGAGCCTCTAACTTTTCCGAAGGGCTCTAAAATCCGCGAGATTTCAGAGCCCCTAGGCGGCCCGCAGGAGGCATTTTAAAGGTGAGCCGGAAAAGCTAGGCCGCGCGCGAGCGAAATGGCCGCAAGTGGCGGCGCCGTATTATTGAGGTATTTCAAAATCATCAGCCCGCATATCTATTTTCATAAAATTAAGATTCGTATTATTTACGATTATAGGCGGATGCCGCAGAGAAATACTCTGCGCCAAGATACGGAGGGCAGGCACTCAAATATTTGTTCGCCGCTCAAATTCTCGGGGCAGTCCTCATGTTGCCATTAGGCAGCATGTCTGCGCTGCCCCCACCCGCGAGTGAAACGCCCTGATCAAAGCTGCCTCGTTTAAGTTTGTGAGCTTAAGGTTGCCATCTCATTGAAACATCAATGCTTCATCGCACACACCATACAATCATCGGGCATGTCTTGGTGGCTACTCATTCGACTCAAGCTTGATCAGACGCACACCACATAAAACTTGTGAACTTTGCACAGAGTCATTAGCTCACGGAGCTCTCACTTCCAGGCGCAGGAGCTTCAGAACAACAGGCGCTAAGTCGCTGCAGTTTGTCCTCACCCAAGGCACGCTTTTTCAGGCCACGCGGATATATACAGAGCACTGCCCTCCTGAGTCTTGGGCCAGCCAGGGCAACTTGCTCTTGGAGCCGTGTTTGTGCTGGCGCTGCTGACATGCCCTTCTCTGGAAGGCGCGGCAGCAGTTGTAAGTCCTGAGCAAGTCGGGACCGGGATGGATTGCGACATTGGTGACCTAGCACGCATCCAAGGCTTCACTCCTCTGAATCTGCAAAGACTTTTGAGGCGATGAAGCCTGCGAAGGGCTGACAAAGCGTGCTTCCTTCCGGTGCTTTTGCCTCATGTGGAATCTCTTACTCGGGTCATGGCTCTGAAGACCATTGAATGCGCTTTCCGCAGCGAGCTCGGTCTTGTTGCGCTGGCCTCACGGCTGCATGATGCTGCATGCTACATGCAGCCCAACGCAAGCGCGACCACATGACGCTGCATGTCGGGTTCTCAGGAAGCCCAAGCCGAGGACCCGACAAGCTTCGGGGAAGACTGGGCCATGCACTCTGTAGTGCTTGTAGGGGCTTTCTTCTTCAATGAGCGCGGCCGAGAGTCACTCTTGGGGGACGGAGATCTGCAGGACTCCTCTTCCATGCATGCTTTCTCTACTGAATTGGTGGATTTGATGCAGATCGCTTGATGCTGAGACTCTCATGCATGTTATTTCCGGTTGCACTGGTTTTTGCATCCCTTCCACAGCCCGCTCAGCCCGCACTAAGCAGTTCAGGGCATCCTCCTGGAAACTGGTTTATGCATTTTTTTCAAGCGGCCGTCCAGGGCAGAAACTATGCTCAGGCCCCGTTTTTGTACGCCCCGCCCAAGACCAAAATCTACAGGACTGCCTTGCAGCAGCAAACCCGACAAGTACGTGCAGGGGCAACATGGCAGACCTGCCCTTTCCCTCTCAGAGGCCAAAGAAGGGCGCGAGGACGCCTAAGGAAGCCTGCGTAACATCACGTGCGCCCAACATTCTCCCTGAAAGAACGTCAAGAAAATTGCCTAAACACTTCCACAAATACCTGGCCTCAGAATCGACAGCTTGACATAGTTCAGAGTAATGACTTCATGAGGAACTGTCGTAATTGCGTTTGAGACATGATGCAATCGAACTTACTCTGGGATGAATGCTTGCTGCGCTTAAAGCGGCACAAGGCGATGGCGTTGGGCTTGCACATGGCAGTGGCGGAGTATGTACCAGAAAACCACCAGCATTTGGACTTCGACAAAGTGGATTTCGATAATGATTGCTCAAGCAAGCTGAGAGGTCTCTCTGAAGGACATTCCAGTTTCCTTGGTGTTCTTTGCTGCGGGCTGGTTTGTGCTTCAGGTTTCGAGTTGCATGAAAGCGACTAGCGGCTAACTGGAGCTGGGGTCCTCGTCGTCAAGCTTGTCTTCGGTCTCTTTGTCTGGCCACAGGTCCAGAAAAACCACGTCATCCACCGTAATCAGTTTTTTGGCCGGATCTTGCCAAGAGTGAGCTGGCCCCAAACACTGAAAAAGTTGCTGGGCATCTCCACTCCATTTGCCTTTTTGACATGACCGTCTCAGAATGCTCAACGTCAAGGTGCCATTGCCTTCCTTGTCAAAATTCTTGAAAGCATTTCCGACAGAGCCGTACAGGCGAGATGCCCACTGCTTGAAAGACATCAACACGTTATAGATGTCAGGGCTGAACTCTTCCATGCTGATAAATCCGGAGGCATCGTTGTCTATGAATCCTGACAGCAATAAAGTCACAAGCAACCTAGAGGCTGATGGTCGTGCCTAGCCCTGGGCGGACCTACCCCCAAAAAAACGAAACAAATCACTGTAGCCATGGGTCTCCATGCAGCTCCGACATCTCCTTTGAATCTGATCCTCCTGGGCTGAGCTTGGTATGCATTTGCACCCGCCACATCTAACACCAAGCACATGCCGTGGCAGCCTGCAGCCTGCCACAAACTCCGTCCACGACACCTCGCGCGAGGCCATTTACTTTTTGATGCAGATTCTGGCAGTCTTGGGCAATTTGCTGCTCCTCATTCTGACCATCCAGATCAAGCCCACGCCAAGCATGCAAAGGGCTTCCTTGCACAAAGGCTGCTATGCTGGCTCAATGCTCCATCTGTCGGCCGGGCCATACTTTTCCAGGAGAATGCTTTTCACCTCACTCCATGCCTCCCAGAAGGAATGACAAGTTTCTGAGACGGCGTGCGACCGAGAAATCCCACCTCCTCTGAGGGTTCTGAAATGAGAAACAGCTGCGGCTCCTGCGGATTGTTGCAGACAAAAGGTCATTTGCCCATGAGCCTGACAGGGCTCTCAGCACAAGCACTTTCGCAGGCTCCGGGAGTGAAGCGATGCGTGAACTGCCCCTCCAGATTTGAGGAATCGGTTTGTTGGACCAAGACAAATGAGCGGGCGCATCTTTAGCGGGGGTGATGTCAAGTGCAGATCGCATCCGTGTCAATTTACTGTGGCGTTCAGAAATCACTGGTAGTTCCTTCTGCCACCAGCTAGATGCGTCGCGAAAAAAAAAGAAAGTCCCTGGCGAACGCACGGCTACGTGCTCCTATTGGAAAGCATGATAACAATATTGACAATCTCACATGGGGAGCTCAGAGCCAAAGAACTTTGTGCAAGGTTAACATTAATTGCGGGTGTGAATTCGGTGCAATGAGGTTCTCTTGACAGGCACAGTCGGAGCATGGTTTCATGCAGGTGTATCGGAAGAAGGTGAGGGCAGGCAGTTACTTGAGATGCTTGGCGTAATTCTGACTGGACAGTCAGGCAGCCGTATCTGCCAAGGCTTAGGTCCACATGTGCTGCAGGCCCTCCTCGCGCTGAACATTATCGTGTTGGTGTTTCATGTGGGTGCTGTCACTCCTGCTGCGCTCTTTTGGTGACAGGCCTGCGAGTTGGCGCTTGGATCCTGAGGTTTTGTTCTGTTTTACTTGCCTTGCTGGGGCAGAATTCCAAGGGCCCCTGCTTCATCTGCCCTTTTTTGCACAAACTAGTAACTAGGCATTGAATTCAATGTGGCCAGAGAGCTCAGAAGAGGGAGGCTGCATGCTCAGAGCCACAGCAAGGCATAGCAAGGCAAAGCTGTGGGGCAGTCCCAGGTGTCCAGCCAGTACAAGTCTGCCTGACGGGTGCGAACATTGCCAATTCATAAAGCTCTTTTATGGAGAGAGAGAGAGAGAGAGAGACAGACCGTTGCCTGTGAAATGAAGCCAGCGTTGAAGAAGTCTAGAGCCGACAGCATCTCTGCCTCCAAAAGGGGCTCACACATCTACACTAACACAATAACGCACTGCACGGTCCTGGTCTCCCGCGCAGATCCATCCCAAAGCCTGCACAAAGAGCATGATGCCAGCACAAAGGCTGGGCAGCTGTCCTGGATTTTCTAGCCTTCAAAGATTCGACGAAATTGCCTATGAACATCTTCTTGACAGAAATCAGTTGCGAATCACCGTTGAGACCTGACGTAAACGTATACAAGACCCGTTGGGCAATGATTGGCAATGGCAGCCTTTCCCTGCAGAACTTGCAAGCAAGCAACTAAGCTGCGGAGATGCTCGAGCCTTTTCCTTACTTACAAGCACGTGCTCAAACCACTCAGAGATTATCTCACCTTGCAGCGAAGACTTTAGGCGCTGGCCATCTCTGGGAGGCTCCAGACCTGCTTCTTTGTTTGGCTTTTGCCTCTTCTTTCTCCTTCTAGTCAGACCCTGAGTTGTCTGTGTTAGCTCAAGTGGCTCTGCGGGCCTCCAGACCGCGGGTGTCAGATGGAAGCATCGTGATGCGTTGTGTTGTGGTTTTGGTCCCAATTGCTCTGACTCACATTCCTGTAGTCATCCCTTGCAGAGGCCGGGAAGTTGGCATAAGTCGACGGACGAGACAGCTTAGCTATGCTTAGCCTGCGAATGTTGCAATCCGTGGGACTGTCATCTTGTGGCCTCGAAACGCTCCGCTTCAGCCCCCTGTGCGATATCCCAACAGCAAGGAGTTTTTTTTGTGGGTAAGGTCGGATCCTCGAAGATCCTCGTAAATATATTCGATGTTGGACGCTCGGAACATCTCCGAACCTGTCGGCTTCAATTTGCTGATAGAGCACTTCAGTCCAACTTCGCATTGCTGCAGCTTCTCTCCCAGGATCTGCAAACATTCGTTTAGAAGCTGGCCCGCGGAGAAAATGCAACAGGAACATACGAATCTAAACTTGTAGACATGGACACCGGTCACGCCGCTGTCGCGGGTGGCGGCTTGTTCACCCTGCCGTAATCTTATGTGGAATGCACGACCACCGTGATCCCTTAGCAGTACTTCATCACGCTGTTGCTGTGGGGTGCGCATGATTTTGAGGATGGTCTCAGAACATGAGCAAATATCACAACACACTCCTGGCTCTTGCATCATGGAATTCTGCAAGCTTTCGGGGATTCCAATCTTCGAAAATCCTTTAGCTGTCTTTAGCGCTTTCTCTGTGCCGCAAGTATCTGCGTTGCAAAAGAAACTTGTCTGGCATTTCGAGTCCCGAAAAAGCTTTTGTGCACGCGTTGTGGTGTGTATATGCCTGTCGCTGCGTGGTGCTGTGCTGCCCCTCAGCAGCAGACTTCCAGTTGCCATGTAAGATGATCACGAACTGTCATTCCCTCCGGCCATTCCTTGGCAGAGATCTGCTGTAATTCGCTGTGCTCTTAGCTGATTGCCATTCTCCTCACCCTTTTTTCGGCAGTTCCAGTCCCGTGCATGCTATCAGGCACCAGGTCTATAGTGTTGTCTACTCTGAGATTGATGGTTGAAGATATCCTATGATATCCTGCTGTTCCAGGAAACGTCTAGGGAGCCTGTGGGTGTTCCGCTAAGCGAGCAGGAGGATAACAAGGAGAACAACAAATAACCAAATGAGTAACTTGGACTATCTGCTTGGGAAACTTGGCTGGCAGAGCCGTTGTGGCTGTTCGAGACGCGCCGAAAACTTGGGGAGAGAGCTAAACAACAAAAGCAAATTTCAAGGAACGTCGCGTGCCAAAGAACTATTATTTGCCTGCCGCCACCTACCACACACACCCGTCGCTTTGCCCCAGATCCTCACCAACCAAACCAGCAAGTCATAAGCGAGACAATGTGGTATGCCAGTGAAAAAGCATTCCTCCTGATGGGCAGAGATTCTTAGAGACGGGAGTTGAGGAGACCAGAAACAGTAAGGGCTGGCAGGCGTAGTTTCAAATTCCATGATAATCCCACGAATGCGAAACCTCGTGTTGCAGGTGCATTCTTTCAAAGTGTGCAAGACACATTTGTCTACATTTGCCGAGCAGGGTGCCCACTGCCAAGAAGTTGACAGCTGCACGAACTAGAGGCCATAATATTGCAAAAGATCGCACACATGTTGTTGTAGAATTATGTTAGGGGTCGGGGTCTGGTGCCGGCAACTGAACGGAGGACTGCGCTGGAGCGAAACACAATCACATATGCTGCCACAATTATGAGACGGTCATCGTTTTGAATCACAGTGAGCCAATCTCAGTCTTCAACCCACAACGCGCCAAATGCGTAGCGACAGTGGTATCGGATGCCTTCTGGTCCGCATGCCCAACAACTTCCATGTTAGCAGCGCGCGCTAAAACGATTACATAGATCGACGGCTGGCTTCCTCATGCCGAACAAGTCATAAAACTCAGCCATCAGCTGCGTGAGCTAGGCGAAGTAGTACAACATCTGTCGGGAAGCTTCTCGAACCGCGCGAACGTGAAAGCAAACCTGCTCTTTCTTCTTGGGAGCACCATGCACGATGCTTTTGCAAGCTAGCCCAAGCAGTTGAGAAGGCGTCTGTTGGGTGTTCAAATGCCTGTAAGAGCTGCCCCGAACTTTGCAAAGGAAAGTGCAGCGTAGACGTAGCCATTAGTTTGGCTCCAGTTCCCCCCGACCACTTGACTTGGTCAGACCATGTCAGACTTCAATCACAGCCTCTCTTTTGTTTTTGGTTGTATGCACCATGGTCAGACAAAGCTTCGTGGAAAGCTTAACATCATGACCGCTTGTTCGCCAGACGTCACTAAACACGGCCTGCCATTGAAATTGCTTGCCTGTCACGGAAAGTTGTCGACTCTGCATTAGCCAACAAGCAAGAAGACCTTGACCGCGTTGATACCAGCCGTAAAGGGGTTGCTCACGATGTCTCAGCTGAGCTCTTGAAGGCTCTGCCGGCTACAGCTATATCTGTATATGGCCTCCTCTACCAGCAAGGTGGCCCTTAAGGTGAGTTCGGGGTGGATCGTCTCGTTTTGTGGCCCTGGCCTAAGTTCGGGAGTCCTCAGCTCTGAACGTTGCTTGTTGACTTTCTCCAAAAGACCCTTCTATCTATTTGCAGTTCGCTCCAAACGACACTTATTGCTTGCCACTGGCAGCACCTCAGCAGCAGGATTCCTCGGTGGCAGTCCTTTCGGGTTCCTTGCTTCTCCGAAACCAAACATTCAGAAATTTGCTTCAAGCCATACTCTAAGCTAGTCTTCTGTAGCAGAGATCAAAAATGCTCCAGGTATATTCGTAAATGTTTTTGCAAGTTTTGGGTCGTTGGGCCGCCGGAAATTCCGATGACCTCGTTCTTGACTTCTTGACTCATGCCTGCAAAGTTGTTTCTTCCCCACCTATTTATCAGGATCCATAGCCACAGCCGCCGTGTTTTTGTTGCCGCTTCTTCTGGAAGGCTTTCTTCGTCGTAGTACATGGATCTCAGCCAATCTTTTTCCTTCCGCAGTGCTGCCACCCCCTCGACTCAATTCACCGTGTGGTTGCAGAGATGAACTGCTTGCAAATTAGCGCTGCTTCCTTTGGGGACTCTTGGCCTAGCCCCCTCCATCGTCATTTATCACTTCCGCCTATGCACTTGCTCTGCTGAATGTCGGCACCGGGTCAGCGCCGATTGGATTGATGGGACAAGATGCTTGCAAACGCTCTCCCACACATTCTTCTTCTTCTTCTTCTTCACTGGAAAGCTCAAGGCCCATGGGCTTAGAACAAGATGTATCAGTGCAAAAGCCGGGACTGTGACACGGGTGAGCATGCCATTTGAGGGGCCATGCCTGCTTGCCTACACGTGGAACCGGTTGGACGCTTGAAGAAAGGGCAAAGGGTCTTTGCGGTGAGCAAAGCCACCCAAACGCAATGACAAGGAGAGAGGGGGCAGGTGGAATGCATGGTATTCCGGGCCTATGAGGCTTAGCCTCAGCCCACTCTGCAGGCGGAAGGTGCCCGCAGCCCGTACAAGAAGAAGAACTTCGTTCCGTTCATGCAAAAGAAAGGTGCAGAAAGCTCTGAGCCCCGCACAGCTCGGCAGGACCCGCATTTCCTCCGGCACCACGCCCTGTCACACAGACACATGTTCACACAAAGCACAGTTGCTTCACGCTAGGATTGGGCCTGAAGGAGGCCAAAGCTACTGCACCCAGCGGCGAGATATCTTGCAAGCTGATCTTTCCGTCGCTGTCCCTTACAGTGACAGCGGTTTCGCGGGCTGACGCTCGCCTCATGCGCACAACTGGCTGAGCATCATGCGAGTCCAGCGTTGTCCACAGGGAGTGCATGTGCACGCGTCGGTCCTCAGTCTGCTCACTCCAACAGTGAAGGATTGAGACAGCCAACCAAAAAGGGGTCTTGCCAATTCGTGCTGCCGGCAGAAGTGCCGGAGGGTCCTGAGGAACATGTCTGGCGAGAATGCCCGCAGCCAAGAATAGTCTGCGAAGCGCAGGAGGTGGATATGTGCAAACTAGGGGCAGCTTGTCTGCGAAGAAATGGCCATCAGGATCAATCCCCCGCCTCCATGCGCGTGCCTTACTCACACAGAGACGTTCACTCTGGCCAGTTGGGTCTGCGAGCTCGGTGTTTACTATTTGACCGTCGGGGTTACAAGTCAATCCTGCAGGTCTCAGCTTGGCATGCGAGGTGCGGGTTTTGGGACTCAGCATGTTCGTCTGGGCTGGGCAGCGCATGGCAGCGCATAAGGCATAAGTCTCACCTAGCCTGAGATGTAAACCTAGTCCGACGAAGCGGAAAAATCAGGAAGTACCGGAAGCGCAATGTGTTGCCCAAGATTGTAAATGTCCTTGCTCCAGCTGATGGACCTGGACACCCTCAATTAATTACGCTGGCTCGGGCCAACATCCACCCGGGTGGAGTGGAGGGGTTCTTAGTATGAAAGGGCTATCAGCCCTTGCGTTTTCGACCTCGGCAAAGGGCCACACAGCGTGTTGACACCTCTACCGTTGATAAACGTACATTGTGTTGCTTTGTCAAGACTGTGCCAAAGAGGTGTTCTGTTCATAAGCGATCGCTTATCAATTTCGTGCGCCATGCCTTTGCTCCGTTATTGTTTTGCTTTTCAGGAAAGCAGTTTCGCAAGCAGGTACTTTTGCTGGTCGATGTTTCTTGTGGCCAACGCAATGAAGCAACCTCTGGAAGCTCTTCTAGCTTGACATTACTCAGGCTAAGCAGCATGAAGTCAACAAATGAGGCGGATGGCTGCCGTAAGTGCCGTCCAGGGAGCTACGGTGCTGGGGGGGTCTTGTGAAAACTTGGCAGATCTCAAGTTGATCATTTCAGAACTGGCCTACGCTTCCTGAAAATGGGGCATGTAAATTCTAAATTCGCCCTGGCCCTGACGCACGCTGCCCTCAAGCTGCTTGTGCCTGGGGAACCTTGCAGTCAGACAAAAACAAAAAAAGCCACAGCGCAGCTGTCAACAAATTGTTTCCGTGGGACACAATATCTGCTGTGGGGTGTTTGGGCCAACAAGTCCAACCCTACTCTAAATAACATTAATTAAGAGCCCCTGCGTGATTCAGGCCTTTGCTCGATCTGTCATCCGCCCCTCAAAAACACGCGCTGCCCGCAATATGTCAACAACGTAGCCCGGAAGTTCCGTCGCCTGGAAATCTGCAAAATTCATGCTTTAGTTAGGACTCATGCTTAGGGTTCAACGATTGAAGTAGGGATTGGTTCGGGATTTTTGGATGGTTTCTGTCGCCGGACAATACCAAGAAGAGCTCCGCGCAGCCCAAGTCATGCCGGCATACTGGTCCACAACACTCTATTGCCGTCACGCAGCAAGGCAAAGTCAACGCCAAACACAAAATCACCCTGTTCGGACCATGCGTCCAAACAACAGAACCGTGCACCGAATGATGCACGCCATCCATCAAATAACCTTTTGTCAAAAAGCCAAGCGGGTCAGAAATCAGAAGCGTTCTCACCTGGGCGGCGCCATATCCTCTACTTTGGGCTGTCCCAGCCTGCAGGGTGGGATTTCTTAACCTGCCCCACGACGTCTGTTAACCCTCTATGCTCCTGGAAGTTTTCATGGCCAACGCCAAGGTTTTCGCACTCACTCCCCCACAACCCCACCTCCCACGAACACGACCAACACCCAGCGTTACGGCGCTCAAAATTCAATACACTCAATACACTTACTGACGTTTCTTGGGACCTGGGGAGGTACTAAGACCAGAGCGCAAGATCCATACTTCTGGCATAGGAACTGCCTGGCAAAAAACAGTAGTTGCTGAAGCTGCGCATCACAGCAGTGTGGTAAGCGACTAGCAGAAGCTAACGCGATGCTGGCATGACAGGAACTTGGATTTTGATTGGCGCTGGATTCTTCGCACCTTGCATGTTAGCGGTCTAGAGGTTAAATGAACGGAAGCAAGATACCAGCCCAAGCCTCACGCAGCCGATGCTGACCTGAGCGAGTCTGCATATCTCGCAGCAGCAAGCGAAGAGCCGTGCTCAACTGGGACCACGCACGCTTGAGGATGACCAAGGGCGGAAGGGCCTCGAACTCGGGAGCCAGCCACGGCCTCGACAACTTCCAGAACAAGACGCTTTCCCAAGAGCGTTTCCAAAAGAAGCTTGCCGATCGAGCCTGAGCGCAGTTCTGCTCAAAGGAGAGTGCTCCTTGTGCCTAGGATGCTGACAGAGCTCTTCTTCAAGCATTCGTTTTCAAAATCCCAAACTGGGGGCCGTGCAGCTCGGACCAGTACACAGAGGCCCAAAGCCTCCAGCAAAAGCTGTGAGTGTACATTTATGCTTCCGCATGCAGCCTGCTGCCAGGCAATTTCAAGAAATGTTTACGTACAGGCAACGGCCAGTCTTGCTTTAAACAATGAACACGCCTCTCCAGCTGACCCTTGGACTTCATCTTCTCCTCAAAAATGGCCTTGTCTCTCGCCTGTGGCCAAACACATGAGGACCCAATCTGGGCAGCGTTTCACGTTTCTGCTACGGCCTGGCTGTCCACCTCCAGGAAGAGAATTTCCTTATTCTTCGATGTCACAAGCTGCAAGCGATGCAAAAAAAGGTAGGTGGTATACTACATCTTCACAAACGCTCTCATCGTCAACCCTCGTCGGGCGAGTGCCAGGAAGCATACTGGACTTCTGAAAGCTGAGAGCCAGCATCAGGTTCCAAAGATACGCGCCAAGGTACGTGGTATCAAGCTGTTGGTCTCACAACCATGCAGAAGCAGTAAGACGATTCGATTCAGGCTGTGATAGATACTGTCAGCCGCGAGCGGCTGTTTCTCCTTTTTTGGAAGATTGACGTTGTCATAACATGTCATAATGTGAGCATGCCACGCTGCGGGACCTTAGCCGCACAACAAAATAAAACCCCGAATCCACAATCCACAGTCTACAAACAGTGGAAATTGGCCAGGTAGAGAAGCGGCCAGGCAGAGAACCGAATAACGCTTTTTGAGTAGCAACCAGCAGATCCCATTAGCCAAAGGGGATCAAATGATGACATGACGGCTTCTGGCTGGCAACAAGCCTCTTCTGCTCAGTAGCACCAAGAACAGCGGAACGTGACAGCAACCACCGTGCTGATGCCCCACGAGTCACAGGAGCGGATTCAGGCGTAGCGCGGGTGGAGTCAAAGAACCTACCGTCCGACCCTAGGCTCGGACACATGTCAGGAATGGCTGGGCTCTTAAGGCTGACGAAATTCAATGATGTCACCGTGACGCAGGCTAGTAGATGCAGAAATCTATGTTTTTGGGCTGCCTAACCAGTAAGGATTTTATGGGACTGTGTGTTTCAATTCCTTTCCTCACCAGATGCTCATCTTGTGTCAAGCTGATAAGTGCTTTGCAACCAAAACCCTTCTCCCGAACCAAAAGCCCCGTGCGCACTTCAAGCCTGATTTCTCTAACTTCGTTTCCATGCCTTCACAGTCAGCTGCTGCAGGTGTTGATTAAGTTGGGTCAGGATTTTCTCAATCCTTGCATCGATGCCAGGGAGGCTCAGATCCAGAGTGCTGTAAAAGCTGGGGCAACTGTTGTGGCCACGCAGATGGCGGCGCAGGTTTTCAGCATGAGCAGCAGCGTTAGAAGGTCCCTGCACCTGCTGCAAAGGGCGTCGTCAACCAGACTTTGTTGGCGGCAGTCATTGCGGGTGGAGAGCATTGGCAGCCGGTGTCGTAGGCGTGGACATGGCAGGATCATGCCAGCCTTCCCTTGAACCGAGCCCGCCAGAATCCGTTAGACCTGGGGGTCAAGTCACAAAACTCCAAACACGTCCTCACCAAAGGACGCCTCAAAACCACCCCCTCCGAGCCAGCATTGAAAGCGTCTAATGTGCCCCTGCCACCTGTGACGAAGCAGTCTTCACACATTTGCTCACACGCCCCGACAGGTTGGCTGTGGACGATCCTCCACTGGTGGAGTCTGACGCGAGTCTTCCCTGACTTTTTGGGACAAAGCAAAGCTGCAAGACCTCGGCCTGTGACAGAAAGGCGCCCTTGCCACCACCTAGCCCCCCCGGCTCGCCCCCCCAACCCCCGCTCACTCCCCCTTCCCCGCTTCCGCCCCAAGCCCTCGCGGGCGATAGCGCTTACAATTGTTGCACAGTAGTTAGGGTATCCTCGGCGCGGTGGTAACAGTAGCAGCTGAAGGTAGGGAGAAGTCGGGAGGAGGCCCTGAAAACTGGCCAAGCGTCTTCCTTGTTGATGGTTCTGCCTTCGTCGATGTCGACGAACTGCGTGTGCACATCATCAGCTTGCGAGGGGGCAGAGAGTAGGGTCTTGTGCCTGGAACAAGTAGTGCAGTTCTTCCACCTGGACATCGAGATGGATCGAGCAGCGTCGGTACTGCTAAGTGGCTCTTGACGAGAGCCAAGCCGTGCCGTTGAAGCCAGCAGCGAGGCAGGAAGACGTCCAGCCTCTCATGCTTCTAAACACTTCATGCAGGCATTGCAGGCAATTTGGCACTTGAGAAACGGCCTTCACGGTCAAGACTGCCGGCTTGCTTTGCATCGATGACATTCCAAACTTCTGCCTCATGGCGTGCCAAGACTGTATGGCCAAGCTGCACAGGCGAGTTTCGTTGCGCATCTGGAAGACAAATGACAAAGGCAGCGGCTGGAGATCCAAACCTTTCCTTGATCCACGCACGAACCCGCCCAACAAGCTCGCCATCTTTTGGACTGAGATCCTGCCAGCGCGATATGCCCTTGTTCTTCCATGGCAGTCCTTGTGGGCAGCTTTGGTGGCTCCTCCAAAGCCAGACTCTCTGCATTGGGGCCAACGATGTTCCGAGCACTCAGATCCTGGCTGCACTTGCTTAGAACACCTTTTCCATCGATTCCCGGTCTTAACGGAGGAGTCCTATTGCTCAGCGTCACAGCGTCATATGGATGCACGTCAGCAGGTTCGCACTCTATACAACCATTCACACTTTACCACCTCCGACAAAACTTTGTGCCAGCATGCCAGACGCACCGCAAGGCCAAGTCTCCGCAAATGCCAGTCGAGCTCCTCGGCGTGGCGCCAACATGAGAACAAACACCGGCAAGATTTCACACGACACCATTGAGCATGGGGAAGCCGCCGCGTCATGTTTGCAGTGCCCTTGCTGTCATTGCTAGGCTCAGGTTGTGATTCAAGCTGATCGAGGGTGAAGGATTAAATGGCTGATGGCTAAAGCAGAGATAAGGTAAAGAAATGACAATATTTTACTGAGTATATCAGCCTCTTTGTTGGCTGGTTTCTGTTTTGAGCATTTGGAG